CATTATTGAGGCTGAATTGGTGAAAATCATTATGGACGACCTCCTTAGAAGACAGAAATTCCCCACGACGTGGAAAGCGGCAAACCTTATCCTCACCCCTAAACCTGGGAAAGAAATGGAACAACAGGGTGCTTTTAGGCCAATATGCCTGCTAAAACACTAGGAAAACTAGTCAAAGTGTTTATTAAGTCAAGACTCTAAAACAAAATCGAAGAAAAGGGAGGCCTATCGAATCGCCAGTATGCGTTCAAAAAAGGTAGTTCTGCCATAGATGTCATAAACAGGTTACTAAGGGAAGGGGGAAAGAAGCATGCAGGAGTAGGTGGATGATAGCACTCTTCCTGGACAGCAAGAATGCATTCAACAACGCGAGCTGGGGGAAAATCATCATACTATTAGAAAAATTGGAAATACCCCCATACCTGCAGAACTTGCTAAAGGATTATTTCATAGATAGGAGTATAATATAACTTAAGATGACACAATATCTAAAGATCATGCCAAACATAGGAGCTCTAGTATGGCAGTAAGCAATGCTTAAACAAAAATACAGAAGAATTCTAGAGAAAGCTCAGAGCATGTAAGCTCCTGAGGGCAGCACATTCCACGAGGGAAAATGTACTCAGACGTATTTTTTTAGTCTGGATCCAACACACGTCTTTAGAAGATTTTAGATCCTTAAAAAATATATATAAATCCACTACATAGACCATAAACAAGCTAGTACAGAATTTCAGAATTCTGGAATGGGTATCTTGAATGAACGGAAAATGTATAATAAGCCAATTGGCTCCAGTACAACTTTGAACAAATGGTTAGAACATTGCCAACTATGCCATTCTCAAATATGTATGCTTTACAGTAACAATATATACTTTAGTATTAACTATACCCGGTTCGCTATTCCCAGTCCGAACTGTCTAGTGATTTTAGTAATTTTTTTTTTCGAAGTTAGTAACTTTTTGACAGACTCGAAGTGGCTGGAAAATACTATACAACCAAGCATACGTGCTCTTAGTCAATATTAATGTAAACAAAAGTAAATAAAATAGAACTTTGCCGACAATCAATATTTATTTATTTACACCGTATAATGTATTGATAACAAATAATAAAATTATTTATTGTACAAAATAAAAAAGTGGGAATAAATTCTACAAAATTAAGAAGTTAAAGTGAGGTTAAATAAGAATAAGACACAGCAAGTAGCTTATGTATTTACAACATTTACATAATTCGATAAATACATTTTAACGATCAACTTACCTCAACAGGGTTTTCATTCGGTAAAAAAAAATGGTAGGCATTTTGAATAAACCGTTGTGCAGTTTTATTACCTTGTAATCTAGGAACAGCATCCTTACTAATCTAAAACTATTAACTTTAAAAAAAACTTTTTAAAAAACATTTTATCATATTTATTAAGAAAAACTTACCAACGCATTAGCTGATGGAACAAATGGAAAACTTTGACTATCCATAATAATAATAATAATAGTCTCCCGTTTTATACCGCACGCGGCTTTGGGAGTATAGCAGGGTAGTCTGCTATATCTAGGGCCTACGGTATACAAGGAAGGTAACATGGCCAGTGCTACGCTTCAACCGCCTATTATTACCCCTGGTTTTACCCAAGGTACTCATTTTATTCAGGCTGAGTCGACCTGGGGCCTATAGACATTTTAAAAATGCCTAGTTGTTCTTGCCGGCGGTAGGATTCGAACTCACGACCACCGGCATGCGAGGCAAGCACACTACCGCTTGCGCTACGCAGGCCCTAAATAATAAAATTTAAAATATAACTAACTAATTAACTGAATAGAACTAACAAAAGAATTACACAAAGATAATAAAACAATATTAAATTAAATAAACAACGCGAATAATACAAAAATTTACTACAATATTTTAAATTGTAACAATTCAAATATTATATTTGAAATATACAGGGAAAATTTGATGGGTTTAGTATACACTTCCAGTATTTAGAATAATTCTTCTTTTTTTCAAAGAAAGAGGTCTGCAATAGTAGTATACTTGAGCTATTTATACTGAGAAGTAGGAATTGTTGTGTTGTAGGTTTCCTACAATGAGTCTGTCAAAATATGCCCTAGCTAAGCGAATAGACAACAATATAATATACTTTAAAATGATTATAAATAAATCCTCAGGATTTTGGAAAGGTTGCAGTGGCTATTATACCAAATTGAAATGATCAACACCTAACCCTGTTTTCTATTGGAAACACAATACATACCCCAATAGTAATGTAAGTAGAATAGGACGGGAGGGGATAGTGTTTTGCATGGGCCCATCCGTTCTTAATGGCGGCGGCGCTACTAGTCACGTTAGGTGGGAGGGAGACGCATGTGCTGTGGCGAAATTTAATTTAAATTGGGACGCCATATTGCAAATTCAGATTTGTGTTTGGTTTTGGTTATTATCATCTTAATTGTAAAAATTGTGTTTTACCATCATTGAAATGGAACAAAATAGAATAAAAGGTAAAAGAATGTTATGTTCATGGTTGCACAGACTACACAAACAGTCGATTTCGTTTTCCAAACCCAAAAAATGAAATGGACTTGTTTTCATAATGGTTGACATTTATTATGAGGAAAATAAACAATTCTACACCACACTGTTTACGGCAAATCTATAGAATAAGTGCCGAGAATTTGACATAAACGTCATGTCAAATTTGTGTCTGCGGTATTGCCATGTTATTATTATGTGTATGTTTTATGCCTCAAATATGCTTTGAAACAGTACATTTTTATTATATTATTTTATGAAATCGGGTATTTTTTACAATTTTTTGAATTTATATGAATCACGAACGAATGAATATTTGTTTCTTTTGATATTAGTTGCAGTTAGTTATTACAAAAAAAATTATAATTGGCCTTTGGTAGATTAGTAAATAAACTTGGCAATACTGTCAAAATTTTGAAAACCTTAGTTGCCAGATTGCAACAGATGTTTAGCAGATTTCAATTTTATGATTTTTATGACTATTTTCTTATAATTTTGGAGTGAAATGGTACCTGAATATCGTTTTGTTAATGTATTAGCTAGTTACTGGAGCTTGTTCAGATCGATATTTTTTCAAATTTACGTTGCAGAGATTAAATTATCATTATTGACAATTTAATCCTTAAAATGTGAATAACAAAGTAAAAATATATCGGTAAAGATGTTTAATTAAATTTAATAACTTAAGAATTTAAAAGCTTAAAAAATTAAAGTTAATTTAAATTATAATAAATTAAATTTAAATTAATTAAACTTCTTTCAAAAACTTAAAAAGAACGTTGAACATTAATTAATATTATATCGCATGCTCTTTCAAGGATTTATTTGTGATATGGCAACACTGCCAAATACAGATCTGTCACTAATCTTCTGTCAGTTCCTCGGCACTTGTTCTATAGGTCTGCCCTGTTTACAATAGTCGTATCCCAAATTTTAGAAATAGACGATAAAAACAGTATACATCAAATTTTATATATCTAATAGACCTGCTAAAGAAGAAGGTACATTACCAAAATGGTATAGTATTTCCAAAGAATATTTTTTGTGGATGGGTGAAAGTTATTGGACAAACGGCTATTAAACATTCTGAGGATTAGGAGTTTATTTTTACAAGCACCAGGTAAGAACAGCACCTAATTATACCAAATTTTCGTAAATACAAACTTGATACTATTTTGTTTTTGTAGTTAATTTACCTTTCAATCTTAACTAACATTAATCTTATATTTATATACTGTATACATTTTAAACTCATTAAAACTCTTAACTCTTATCACTGCATTCCTAAACATTGCCTTATTTTATAAAAAAAACTCTTATGACTCTTAATTGCATTCCTAAAATTGGCCTTATTTTATAAAAAAAAGTCAATACATTCTTAATTTTAATAATATTTCATTATTTTAGATTTTCATGGATCTTCTACTTCTGAGTAACAGTTACATTGAGTCACATGCCAATTTGTGATCATTGTGAAGAGCAAGATCGCAGACATGCTAGGGTTTACACTTTATTATCTACATATGGTACTTTAAGGAAAAGTATTTTAGAAGGTATGGAACTTACTACAAACCATTGCTAATAAATATAGAGGTATCTATATTTGTATATCAAAATGACGATCTCACAACATGATGGGAAGATTAAATGAAGATTGGTGGAAAAATCCCTTCACGAAGTTGTTCATCTGGTACAGAATTGCAGCCAATGGAGACAGCAAGTTAACAATATTTAGAGTGTCTCCACCCACACCTTAACAAGGGCTTAAGTAAGGAGGAGGAGGAGGATATGTTGCCAATACTTTACCAAAGAAAATTATACAAATAAACAAGTGTCAGGATGTTTGTGTTTTATTTTGTTATTTTTGGGACTTTGGTTTGTTAATGTAATGGAAAACAGATATAATCATAAAATATTAAATAAAAACTTTCTTGTACCATAATATATACTCTCTCTGTATCAGATATTATGTTATACATTTATATATATATTATATATATATATATATATATATATATATATATATATATATATATATATATATATATATATATATATATATATATATATATATATATAAATGTGTAGGTGTATACTATATTTTTGGACAGAGAGGATATATTTTCTGGCATAGAATAAGTTTTTATTTCTTATTTTATGACTATATTTACTTTCCATTAAAAACATACTTTTTGAATTTTGGCGCCTAAAATTCAGAGCATATTTTTTGAATTTGCCGCCTAAAATTCTGAATTTACGTTTTGAATTTGCCGCCAAATGAAATTAGTTTCGGCCCGTCCGTATTTGGCGCTAGAAACTCTCTTCCAAAACTTTATATGGGAGTTACCTTACTATGATTGAAAACTGTCAATGTCAATGCCAAAATCTCAACAACTATTTTGATTTTTTTTACAATTCCAGATTTTTTTTATTGTTATGTAGTTTTTTTGTAGTATTGCCTAGACATGAGTGAAATATTGAACAATACAGATAATATTTTAAGCATATTTCCCGCTTGTCTTAGAAAAAACATAGAGGAATTATGTTTAAGAAGTACAGTCGGTAAATATTATTAGTGAATGAATCATTCTATTTTTTATTAATTTGATGATTTTAGGTTTTCTCCCTATAAATTTAAATGATATTACAATAAATCAAGTTAGAAACAATGTTGAAGAAAATGCTTTCAACAATTACCATTTTATTTTAAAAGTTCCTTATGCAGGAAAAAGACTAAGATGGGAAGTTATATTTGATCCAGAAGATTTCTACTTCGCTCCAGATTTTATTTTTAACGATGAAGAGTTTTTGAATTATCCAGATGTTGACACGCTTTCCGAAGTTGTTCCTAGCTGGACGAATTGGAATTTAAAAAATCCCAAAGCTCTAGCACAGATTCTTAATGAGTTTTTGACTTTATACAAAAAACACCAGGTATCCTTTTTTTTATATTATCTAGTTATCTATTATTACGTATTAAGGAAATAATGATTAGACAGATTATATAGAGTAAATACCCAAGATTGGAATATATATTAATGTATATATTTATATACCTATACAACCATTTAGAGGAAAAAATGATATCTGTGCATTTAATATAATCAATAGAGTGCTTTCAAAGAGTGAGACGTCAAATTAGCAGCTAATAATGCACCCAAGTCATACATCTAACCCCTATTAAAGTATCCCTACACACACTTCACATCCATGTAATACACAATAGAGCAACCTGCAACTTAGTTGCCACTAAGGTTTAAGTTGCCTGAAACCTCTCTCCTGGTCGACATAAAATAATCTCTAATTCCTTGTGAAAAGTCTGCCAGAATATCTTGAATATATAGCCTATCCAAAATTCACAAACCTGATATTCCCCTATGTCCCATAGTCAGTGCATACAAATGCCCTACTCAACCATCAAGTATGTGACCAAAACTATACAATCTATATTTCTTATACCCTATCTCACCTTCAGACATTCTAGTAAGTTTCAATATCGTTTCACTCTTGTCTATGTCTAGCTCTTATTTCATCTTCCAAAATCAATTCTACAGACAAATAAATAGTGCTTCATTTGGCTCCTCACCAACTGCAGAAATTGAAAATATCTATGGAATACTTCCAGACCCCAGCACTTTCCTCATCAATGCTCAAGCTCACATGTTGGCTACAATTTGTTGATGATACATTCGTCATTTGGCCCCACGGCAGAGATGCTGTGGTGTCTTTTCAAATCCATTTGAATGGTATACATCCTAGTATCCAGTTCATGATAGAGGTGGAAACTGATTCATCAATACTATTTCTCTACATTAGCATAAAGAAAAACCAATCCCAAGCTTTTCAGCACTCTGTTTATCAAAAAAAACCCACCCATACCAAGTGCTACTTACATGCCAACTCCCATCATCCACCTTCACAAATTAATTCAGTCAATAATATACTTGTCTCCAGATCAATAAGCCTTGGTGATGATGTAAGTAGATCTGCTGAGCTCTTTAGTTTAATACAACTCTTCATCCAAAATAGTTACCACGAAAATCACATTAATAGGAGCATTCACAGACATCAATCCCCCACTCAATCTCAACCCAAAGACTCAGACACTCTACATGCCAAAGCTTTTCTTCCTTACATCAAAAGTGTCAATGACAAAATCGACAAAATTCTTTAATCAATCAAAGACAATAATCCAAATGAACAACAGAGTTTAAGAAATTCCATTGCAAACTGCCCCTGATCATATATATGCCAAACAAATTGTAGAATCCAAAAAGGATTTACCAACATTCCATTTCTGTTTGTAATTTTGATTCTATTTCAGCTCTAAGTTAACACTATCTTCATACAGGTCACAAAATTGATTTAAATAACTCCAGAATCATAGCCGCTATCCTCTTCTATAAACAAAGAATTATCATAGGAGAAACCATATATATTGAAAAAAGGCCAAATTTTCTCAATAAAAGAGATGAAGTCATCATTTTAAAGCTTTTTATATGCTCTAAAAGATGGTTATGCTGATAAACCTGCATAACCTTATGTTTTTCAATAATAACACCAAAAGTACACTTTTTCACACTAATTTGTTTATAAATAAAAATTGTCGTTAAATCTCACTTAGGAAATGGTTAGAATATGTTTTTATAAGTATTATACATCAAAATAACCTTTCAGTATCCTGGGTTTTTGAGTATCACCACGAAAACCTTATTACCCTGGACTATATTATGATCTTTTGCTTTCTGATCTGTATGCAAAAGTTTTATATTTTTTTTATTTATGCTGGAATATTCCTCTATTATACTGATAATTTCTATCAATATATAAACAGTTATTCTAAGCAATTTTTTATGAATAGGATTGATATGCATTTTAATCTGATTTTTAGATCGAAAAATTACACCTTGACAATATCTATTCTCGCTACTCTGAGGAATTCAAAATTCTAACAAAGGGTACAGAAGGTATATCACCTGAGGATATTGAAGTTAGTGTAGATGGCAATACTTTACATTTTCTGATATGTCTTAAAGTAGATTGCTCATCTTTACCAGAATATGTGCAACCAATGTAAGTATATCACATAATAGTAATGAATTGTAACTTTCGGAAGATTTTCTAATCCGTAATATTTAATTTATAATTGTACAAACCTGCTAGTATGACTGTATCATCCGCGAAGGTGGCAATAGTGTCCTGTTCTAGCTCTGTAATATCATAAGTATACAATAGGTACAGGATTGAAACTATTACACTCCCTTGTGGCACGCCAGCTTTGATCTCCCTTAAGTCGGTTTATACTTCTTTTTGTTTTACTCTCAAATATCTATTCGCAAAGTATGATTCTAAGATTTCTGAATACTATTTAGACATGCACATTCTTAGTTTATAGTTTAAACCCTCATTCCAGACTTTATCAAATGCCTGTGCTGATTTGGTATAACATTTTTTCTTTCTATTATTGGTTTAATCTTTTCAATAGAAGTTTTTTAAATAGTTTTGACATCACCGGAAGGAGTAATATTGGTCAATAGGATGTCACTTCATTGGAAGGTTTATGTGGTTTGGCGATCATAATGACTTTGGCTACTTTCCAGAGTCTGGATCTCAATCTATCTCAATATAAAAAACAGCATTTATTAGGTGTGTCAGTTTAACTATGGCTTTTCTTGGTAGATTTTTTAATAGTTTCCCTGTTATGAGATTATATCCTGGAGCTTTCTTAGGATTTATATTCTCTTTTATCTCTGTTGATACTTCTCTAAATGATGTGAATGATATTCTTTCTTTGGTTTGGAATATTTCTTTCCATCTCAGTTCTTTACCATCATTGTAGTTGGGTTTGAATGTGCTTTCTAAATGATCTGCAAATTGTTCTGCTTTATGTTCGTTACTTCTAACTCAGTTGCCATTTTCCAACTTGATAGGGGAAGAATGAATAATTGGTCCCTTCATTCTTTTTGTTTCCTTCCATAACGAATAATCTGTGTTCTGGTCAGCAGTTAAATTACTTAAAAAGAATTATTTGTTAAATTTTTTATATTCTGTATCTCCCTTTTTAGTTTTTGTGTAGCATTACTTACTAGTTTTGTCTCATGGAGCTCTGTATTACTGTCATTTTTTTCTTAACTTCCTTTTTTCTACCATGAGTTCTCTGATTTCTTTTGGATAGTTGTTCCCTTTTGTTCTAGAAGTTATTGTGGGAGTATTTTCCCAAGCTACCTGTTGGATATTTTTTATAAAAACCTCTAATTCATTATGAAGTTTCCTTGTGTTTCTCAATGGCACAGCAAGATTAATTTTGTGTTAAAGGTTTATTTTGAAGCTCTCCCAGTCAGTTTTTTTATTAGTCAATATTGGATTGAACTCTTTTTGATCACTGTATCACTCATAGTTAATATTAGGATTGAGTGATTAGAGTTTATGTTCCAGCCGTCATTGATATCCAGATAGTTACCTGAGATATTTTTGTAACTAAACAAATCTATCAGGTCTGGAATTTTGTTCTTATCGGTAGGTCAGTATGTTGGTCTACCAGTAGATAATACTTCACCCTTTTGTTCTTTAACAACTGACAAAAGTTCTTTTCCTTTAGTTGTAGTTAGCCTAGAGCCCCAGTGGTTATTAGCAAAGACATACTACAATATGTAATATATTTTATTAACTAGGGTAAAATAAACTTACAAAATTCGTAAAAAAATTGTTTTACACTTTGTTACTGACAGGTGTCACAACAAAAAAATGGTTAGTTTTTGAACCTTTGGCGAAACTGAGATAAAAAATTTGAAATATATAAATGTATTTTTTGTGAAAAATTTCAAAACATTTAGAATGTAAATGGACTTGACATTTTTGACAAACAAAAACAGTATGATTGGAAGACTGCCTGCATGTTCTTCTTGCATTTTCTGCATGCTTTATCAATAAATGACCTATCTTATCTTTTCGAATTTCATCTGGTAAACTATTTTTGACAGTCTGCCCATGTTTATTGTCAACGATACAGTTGACTTTTCACCTTCTTCACTTTCATTCTGTTTTGATTCTTCTTGTTGTTCATCTTCCGATTTCATTAGACAAACCACAATATATGACCGAAAATTGATTTGGGAAATGGAGCTTCTCCATTTCCCAATCATTAAAGTTCCCATGCATTTACAATGGAACTATCAATTAAGTTTTTAAAAAGTGGCCACCACCATTTCTTACCTCGTACAGCAATCCTGTAATTCGCAATGCCGTTGTCATGTAAGTCAACGCCGCCCATACATCTATTGTATTCTTGGATAACATTCGGCATGGGGATATTTACTTCTTTCCTCTGTTTGCGATCGTACCTCTTTGCAAAGCCTACGGGATGGACTGGGCAGTTATTGGAGATTACTGTTACAACTGAGTTATCATTCCATCTAACTACAGATACTTCAGCTTCTTTGTCAAAAACGAAGTCGAACGACCCTCTATCTTTTTTAGCAATAATTTTAGATGTTTCCAGTGGACACTTTTCAATCCTATTCTCTCGCACTGTGTCAGTTGCATAAATTCCCTTTTCTTTCAATATTGTGAATAGCTTATAAGATGAAAAGAAGTTGTCAAAAAATACCCTGTGATTAGAGGGAGTTTCTACAACACTTAGTAATTTTAATACTACATCAGCACCCAAACCTAAATCTGATTTTGTTGTGCTAGCACTACCGTAGGGGATAAACTGGAATAGGTATCCATCAGATGAACAGAGGCACCATAACTTATACCCAATACACACAGGTTTTCCCTTTAGAAACATTTATGCAGAGTGCCTTACAAAATATGGTACGATTTCTTCGTCTATAGATAAATTATACGCGAAAATATCAAATTGCAGGAATTTTTGATTCATTAAGTCGAAAAGGGGGCGAAGTTTTGCAAATTTATCATTTTTTTGTACCACCGTATTATCACTTACGTGAGTATACTTTTTGATACGCCGAAATTGATTTCTACTCATGCAGTTTCTAATGAATGCCACGTTCTTATCCTGGTACTTGCTCCAGTACATATCTTGTGGCAAGGTGTGATATCCTGTAAGAATGAGTATTCCCAAAAACCTTTTCAGCGATGCATTTCTCAAATGAAAATCGTGACAGTTATTATGTGAGCATATTTTATAGTAAAATTTACAATAAGGTTGTAAACTTCATCATCAAAGAAGAGCTGGAAACATTCGTAAGGGGTTTTTCTGGCGACACGGTTCTCAATTTCCATCCCTTTTTCAATTTCATGTGATTGTGGTGCTGATGAAAATGTCGGATCAATTTTTGTAAACCATTTTGGAGTTGTCACTCTACATACTTTACGTTTTTTATACGATTTACTTGTTGATTCGATATCGAATGACTCCGTAGTAGGAATCTCTACAAAGCCGGCAACTTCAACTTTACTTGTGGAAGGTTCCAGAAAGACGGTATCTTTAGCAGAAATCTCAAATGTACCGGCAATCTCTCGAATCTCATTGTCACCTACAAAGTCACGTAATAGATTATATGAAACTAAAAAATAGTGAATAGGTTACCTTTTATAACATCCTTATCAATCATTTCTTCATCTGTCAATTCGTCACAGTCCGGAGGTATTATAACTATTTCTGCGACCCCATCATCAATATCACTGAGATTCTCCAATTCGGCTTCTAATTCCAATAAAGTTAGGCCTTTTTAGGTTGAAAAAGACTGTTTTAGGGTTATTTTTCCAAATCGACATATTTATTGTCTACAACACAAATAGATTTTCGAAGTCGACTTCCGCCAATGGTTCGTTATCGAACCATTATTTTCAAACACGAGATTTGATGACTGAAAATTTTTTTTGTTTGTATGTTTATAACAATTGACGTACAAATAGGTTAAAAAAATCAAGTTTTAATTTATTTGACCACAAAAGTGTTTTACCAACGAAATTACTACACTAAAAATAAAGTTGTGTCGAAGGACTGAAAATGTTACATATTTAGAAAATATTTTTATAGATAAAAAATGAGTTTGAAAATAAAACAAAATTAAATTTAGTTACACTTATACATTCATACCAAATAGATTACATATTGGTCAACAAAAGATATCACAATGCAATCATCAGTGCAAAAACATATCCTGGAACTGACATCAATTCCGATCATAATCCTGTTGTTGCAAAAGTTCGCGCAAGATGGAAACTAATCAAGAAACAAAAACCTCAACACCAACTATTAGACATCCAAATATTGAAAAACGACACCATACATAAGACAGTAAATAAAGAATTAAACAAAAATTTAGGAAATATTGACCACAATAGAATTAGAGAGTACGATGACATAAACGTTCTGTGGAAAACTATTAAAGAACAAATTAACAATGTAACGGAAAAACATCTAAAAGTAACACCTAGAAATAACAAACAGGAATGGATGACAGAAGAGATTTTACAATTAATGAACAAACGAAGAGAATCTAAAGGAAAAAATGACAAGGACGTAGAATACAAAAGACTAAATAGAATAATTCGAAAAAAAAAATAACCGAAGCAAAAGAGAAATGGCTGGAAACAAAATGCGTAGAAATAGAAGAACTGCAACAAAGGCACGATTTTTTTAATTTACATAAAAAGGTAAAAGAGTTTACATCGACTACCAAGAGAACGACCTTTCACACCATGCTGAACACGGATGACAAACTGCTAGAATCAACGGAAGATAAACTGAAAGAATGGGAAAACTATATTAAAATTCTTTTTCACGACATACGAGAAGAACCAAGATTGGAAAATAACAACGAAGGGCCAACAATTCTGAAATCTGAAATCATAAATGCAATTAATCATCTCAAAACAAATAAAAGCCCATGTCCAGACGGAATATACCCAGAAACGCTCAAATTAATCAGCGAAGAAAATATCGAATTATTTGTCCTTTTATTCAATCGCATTTATGATACAGGTAAAATACCTCAAGATTGGCTGGAGTCAATATTCATCCCACTACCAAAAAAGCCAAACCCACAACACTGCAATGAGTTCCGTCTGATAAGCCTTATGAGTCATGCTGTAAAAGTCCT